AATGGAGGCACTGACCTCATCGGAAATAAATGGTAGTACAAAAGGAATTTTTCCTTCAATCGAGGTACTACCATGTCTGACAAGGAAGTTCTTTTAGGGCGTGGGGCGCTTTTTGAAAATGGTTTTCTGCATGGTATAGGGGCATGAGCACTGAGTTTAAAACTATGGTCCATTTTCGCTAAATGGCCTTCTGAATGCCAAAAAACGACTGAAAACGATTTTGTCAGAAATCGCCGTTTTAACCCACCCAGCGTCGTTTGTTTCATTCATGGCGTCGACTGTCCCTACACCAGAAGGCACCAGTTGACTGCGCATCGAAAATAACGTGAAAGGAAGCCAAAAAAGGGGGCCACATGATGAAAAGTGCGGGGAAGTTTCATATAGGCTCTCCACGGTAAAGCTGCCAGCAGCGTCGGATGGTGTGGTGGATAGATGTGGACTTCGAGGAAGGACGACTAGGATGGGTTGATGTTTCGGAAACTCCAGGCATTGCCGTTTTTGCATTTTATGCTGTCACCTCCAGATTGGCTCCATATTGCACCAGGGCCAAAGCAAGTGCCTAACTGGTCATGTTCGTGACCAGGACCAGCCAGGCACACCACTACGAACCGTTAGAATTTGTTGTGTGGAGCGCAAACAGTGGAGGAGCTTCCAGGCTTCCCACTCCCAGGAGCATAAAAGTGTCTCTCAATTTCACACTATATAAGTGTTATAATGGGGGGTCCGAACCCTATAATATGGTTACTATTTGATGGAAGCTGTCCTCGATCTCGTTGGTCAATGCAAAGACAACAGGGTTCCCGATTCCGACCTTCCTCTGGGCGTCCACCGCGGACTCCTAAAACGAGTCAGACTTTCTTTCAACTCGTCTTCTTGCTGAAGCATCCATGAGCCTTAGGATTGACATAAAAAGCTGTCAGCCCTGAAGGAAATCATTCTAGCGCCGTATTGCTAGATAAATGACTAGATGAAGGGTTTGGGCGATTCCCGTCCCCAACCTACGATCCCCTAACTCCGCGTCGTGCTATGAAGGGCTGGCAGGACACGATCAAGAAGGACATCGCTGAAGTCGAGGTGGCTGCAGAAGATGAGTGACTGATCGCGAGGAGAGAAGGAAATGGAAATGACCAATCAGAACTGTGGACAAAAACCCTTCAACGGCGCGAGATCAACGCTAGGGTAGAAAACGGTGAAATC